TTCTACTGGTTCAAGTCTGGTGAGAATGCTGGCCAGTCTGTACGGGTGATATCCTCCGATTGAAGGCATTCGCTTACGATATTTGCACGGTGAGGACTGGCGTTGTCATCCATAAACACAATTGTGTGCCCATGGCACCCCGAAACAAATGTACATGTTGTTCCAGAATGACGTCCCGATAGATATGGCTTGTCATGATTCCAATTTGAACATGAAGGTCAGTTCTGGAACCCAGAATAATTCCACCCCAAACGAGCACTCCTACACCACCGTAACGGTGTCGTTCAATGATGCTTTCTTGGTGGTAACGAATACCTGGAGCTCTCCATATGAAAGTCCGGCGAGAATCAGACTGCAAGCTAAACCTGGACTCGTCGGAAAACATCACACAAGCCCACTGTTGCGGTGTCCACAGTGCATGCTCTCTACTCCAGGCTAACCGCAGGCGACAGTGAGTTGCAGTAAGTGGAACGCATCTGACAGGTCTACGAACATATAAATCTGCCAACGAAGCGTCTGTACACGGTCTTTGAAATTGTCGTACCAGTGGCTGCCAGTGAGAGCTGACACAAGGCAGGTCTCAGGCTGTGCTCCACCTGTTTGTTTTGGCAGTAACTGCCAAATACCGGTCCTTATTCGGCGCTGTAACTCTGGGGCGACCTGTGCTGTAACGTCTACTCACATTACCAATTATCTTGGAATCGTTGCCAAAGCCTGGTGATGACACTCTGGGCAATTCCAAGTTCGCCTGATCTTCCAGTTGGGTACGCCCACATTCCAGACGGCCGATAATTCTACCACGTAAAAAATCATCCAAATGCGTCCTTGTGTCGGTTATTGCACTGAAATGCTTATAAAGCGCCTGCGAAAAATTTTAGTTCTTTGTCTGTATTCCTTATATATCACTCTCTTACACTCTTACTGGCAGGCGGTAGAATATGAAGGCCATGCCCAGTCGGCAAAATTAAATGCTATGGAATTAATGTCCACCACAAAAGTTATATTTTGCTTTGAAATAAAGAAATACAAAATAAAATAATTTATACATTTAAATTAAATTTTACGGCTGGAAAACTTCAGATTAAAATCTTTTGATATATTTTAATGGTAACTTCAAAGACTTTACGAATAATGAGTTTATTAAAAATTAATGAAGAATTTGAAAAAATCAGAAAAGTACACAGATATATCACTTCTTTTTAAATAACTGTATATTGGTATTTGAATTAAGTTAAAAAAATAGATATAGAAAGGCTTTCAGGTCCTGTGTTATGTGTATCATCCAGAGAAGAATAAGAGGGAAGGAAAGTTAATTTTATTTATAGTTTTTGAATAAAGCAAAATTTGAAATCTGCGTTCAATCAAAAACAGATTTTAAAGCACACCTGTGTTTGTTAAAAAGCTCCAAGTGATGTTTAAGTGAAAAAAAGTACATAATTAAAACTCTTGAATCTTAAAGTTAATTTTCTCAACGTATTTGATATTGTTGAAGGGGATATAAAAAGGTTTCAATTAAGAATTTCAATAGGTGTGGTTGAATATTTCAACTGGAAGACAAGTGGAGCCATGTGTGCAACACAGCATTTATACAGGGTGCTCATAAAGAGCTTCCCCTATATATATGAATCGTAGTGGTCTGCCCGCTCAAGCAATCGAAATTAAATATCAGTTATTGTTATTTAAAGGTATGCTCTCGAGATAATGATGATTTTAAACAATACTGCTGTCACGGTCACGGTTACGATTACAATGAAAAAAAAATTCGAAATTTTTCGAATGACAAAACCCACTTTTTCTTGCGGAAATTGGTCAGCGGACTGAAAAAACATAAATGGCGTTGTAACGATATAATATAGTTATTGCGAAATTAACCGGGGGCAGAGAAGAACATTGTAAAACATAGATGACAACACAAACTGTTATTGGAATAAGAAGTTTTCAGCGTGTCCGCCTTCACAGAAGATAACGCATTGCATGTGGGAGACTGTTGACAACAATGGCGAACGTAACTTTGCAGAAGGAATTTATATGAGTTCATGTTTTGTCGCATATATCGATTCTGAGAAATCTCGTGAATTTGATGTGTATTCCTTAGATTTCATTTAGCCCTTGAGCCAGAAATCCTTCGAAGTGATGTCCGGTGATTGTGGGTGGCCAGAAAACTGCAAAGTTACGGAAGATGACTATATCGTGGAACGCTGTACACGTTGAAAACTTGTCATTGTTCCTTGTAAAATGCTGTTCTTTGCAAATATTGTACACCGGCAATTTTCGTCATATGTGTATCGATGCAACGCTCTTTATGGTCTTTCAACGTGCTCATAAATTTGCACAGGAAAAAAGTGAGTTTCGCCGTTCGAAAACTTCGTAATTTTTTCGCGATAACCGTAACCGTGAGAGCCCTATACCTTCAAATAACAACATTTCTTATTTCATTTCGATTGGTTGAGCGGATAGGCTACTTAGGGTTTCTCATAATCGGAGAAGTATTTTATGATCACCTTGTATTTTAAATTTCAATGAAAATTACATTTCATTGTTTCATGTGTGTGGGTGGCAGTTGTGCTTATTTAAGTATTTTGATGATCTGTATCAAAAGCGATCTTTTCTTAGAAAACCAGGCCACAGTGTCTTCGGTTAATAAATTTTTGGGGGGGGGGGGTTCTTGTCCCAGTGTTGACTCCTTTAAAAGAGGTTTCACTGTACTGCTAGAGTGTGTTGCAAAATAGCTACATTTTGAGGTAAGGTGATGTTGATGGCGAGGATGGTGGACAGAGTGGAATGAATGTTGACGAATTAAGATGTATTTGTAAGAAAGGTTTGGTTTATTTAATTACGGAAAAGCACACTAGGGCCATCTGCCTAAGGGGAGGGATGCCTTCGTGTAGGACTCTAAGGTTTGTAAGAAAGGGAAACTTATTACCGAAAACGTTTTCTTGGAATAAGTATCTAGGGCTCTTTAATCCCTTCGATTATTTAATGCTGTAATTTATCCCTTTGATACTGAAGCAAATTATGGAATTGTGTCATTAAAGAAATACGGTTTTATTTGCGACCGGTAAAAGTATATAATTCTCTGCTTTTATTTTTTTCGTAAACGTACTCTCATATGAATTAGAATATAATTTCATTGTAATATAACTCTCTTTTGTTTATAATATTTCAGTATGCTGATGTTTCATGAACAATTGTATTTTATTTTTCATTTTTAGAGAGATTCTGTTTATTTACTGTTATTTATAACTCAAAAGGACTTAATCTCAAATCGCGATTTTTCGTTGAGTCGCGTTATTTCACTTTTCATTCAACTCTGTTCCCATTCGGTGAAATGTTAAGATATTTGTCTTTCAGATTTAATTTGGCTGTTATTGATGAATAAAGTAAGCTATTTAAAAGCAATGCATGCACTTCTACGCAATACCTTTTGAATCTGATTAAGTTAAATAAAAATGCATTTATTAAATTATATTGTAGATTAGTTCGCAGCAATAATTAATCATTTATTTGTTTGCAGTTAAATTTCATTAACTTTTAATTTGCTTTTTACGAATAGAGAATGTTTGTTAAATTCAATTTTAATTCATGATATATATAATTAAAAGCATTAAATGTTTTTATGAAATTATGTTATATATTTTTTCACTTTTCAAATATACAGACGATTTGTAACGTTCCCATGTTATTGTAAGTGTATATTCCTCTTAATAGCCTATAAAATGTTTCGCTGTTCTGTCTGGACCATATCTATTGATAATCTGTAGTGATAAACCATATTAAACTGTAAAAGATTCCTTTGGGGCGAACGTTAAAATCTGAACCCTTTCAGATTTTTAAAAATTTATTTGTTTGTTTATTCTAATTTCAAGAATTTGCTCTTTCGATTGTTTCGTTTATAATGTATTATTTTATGTTAGTTGGCGAAAACTGATATTAAAAAAAAAAAAAAAAAAAAAAACTGAAATGTTTCAGATTTTAAATTACGTCCAAAGGGGCGTTTTTTAACATTTTGTGTGTTACCTTTCTTTATTAAATATCATGTTCCTCGCACTTAAACCATAAGATCCAGTGCAACAGCAATATCGCAAAATAGTTTTAAAACGAGCCTATCTTTAGAATTTCCGATACAGAGACTCACGCGCTGGAGATAAAAATGTTTTTTCTGCACAACGTTGCCATTGCTCGCTTTGAAATCCTTGAGTTTGTTAATCAAAAATTCGTCAAAGTTTTAAAAAATAGGAAATCGATCATAAAACAAATTTCAAATTTCAAATTTGGTCTTCCACATGCTCATATTCGTTGGAGGATTACGTTATTCAAAATTCGATGACTCTATGTACCATTGTTTTATCACAATACGAGAAATATACATACATTTATGCAGATTTTTCATTATTTAATTTCTTCAAATATAATGCAGGACTCTAACATTTTGTGGCAACAGTTTGAAAAGTGAACCGATATTTATGAGTCCGACGCAAAATGCCAAAACGAAACTAATAGTCCTTCGGGATTCAAATCCCTTTGGACTATTTAAAAAAAAAAAAAAAAAAAAAAAAAAAAAAAAAAAAAAAAGGTCATATGATTTCAGATTTTCCTGTCTTTCGTTTCCGTCCTTTTTTAAGTATTTGTCAGATTTGACGCACCGATCTATTTACGCACATTTGTCGTATTGTTTTCTGGTGGATTTTCGTCGTCAAATGGTGTACAGTTAAAAATTCTCAGCGTTAAGATTTTAATAAAATGTATGAGTCATTCAAACGTTTATTAATTTTGAGGTTAAACTGTGGTTTGTATTGTTATTAAATATAAATAACTCTGAACCGAATATTTTATATGTTACTGTCATTACCTTCTTAACCTTAAGTAAACTTGTTAATGGCGTCTGCATAAACTGAAATACCATATTAAATTGCAATACAACTTATTAAACTGAAATATTTTTATTGACTTTTAGCATATTTATATAGAATATATATTTAAAAGAAAATATTTTTTTCTAGCTCCCAAACCAAATGAATCTAGTCCAAGGTTACAAAACGACACTGGACTGCCCGAAGATTGCCCGAATGGTAAACAGGGTTCTGCCAATGTGTCAGAAGCTATTAAAGAGATCAAACAAGCCATCCAAATGAGCAAAAATGTTCAGCTCAAAAGTACGCATTCTGGGAGCAATTGTGAAGGACCTAACCAACCCGTTTGGGTACCTAGGTAAGTAATATTCTAGATTAAATATTTTTTTTGGCCGAGTAGATGAGATCGCTAGACGCTAGCAATTCAACGCTTTTTCAAATTCTAATGAACTTTCTGCATTGGCTGTATGTGGTTTTCGACATGTTTAAGATGGGTAAAAAGCAAATTTACCTTTGACAGATAGTTTTTATTTGTTCTCCCTGATCAATGAAAGGTGTTCTTCGGGAAGATATTCTCCACTGAATTAAATAAATAGCTCTTGTGTATATTGCCATATTCGGTTAAAAAAAAAAGTAATATGCATGCTCCGAAATTTCTAGAATTGCGACAAAAGAGTGCTTAATTTTAGGAAGTTAACATTTTGCGAAATTCCTTAAATACAGTGTGTTAATGGTAATCGAGTGATACTTTAAATATTTGAAAACCGTTATAATTCATTTATTTCGTCTTAAAGATTCTTTATAGCTACTATTGGGTTGGAGGGAAAGTTCTGTCGTATTTTAAAGAAAATATTTGAATTCATTTATAAAAAATATGTGTTTAATATTAATCAATTATATATGCTCCGTTATTTGTTACAACCTGTTGCCATCTTCCAGGTAACCTGTAAATTCCTGTTTTGTAGAAGTTCTCATCCATGGAGTTAAAATAGTCAGCAACTGCCTTAGAAACACTTTCAAAAGACTTGAATTTTTTTCCCGTTAGATAATTTTGCAGAGATCTGAACAGGTAATAATCAGAGAGTGCAATGTCAGGTGAATACGGCGGGTGACTAAGAATTTCCCATCCTAACGCATTCAGTTTTTGTAGTGTCACCACTGCAGTATGCGGGCGAGCATTATCGTGATGGAACACAATATCCTTTTCTGGACGCTAATGCTGGCCTTTTTTCTTTGATAGCTGCATTCAATTTATCCAGCTGATATCAGTACAGATCCGCGTTGATGTTTTTTCCCTGTTTCAGCAACTCGTAATACACTGGACCTTTCCTGTCCCACCACAAACAAAGCAGTACTTTTCGTTGATGGATACTTGGTTTTGGAACTGTTGCTGATGATGTTCCTGGTTTGCAGTAAGATTTTTTTCTTTTAATATTCTCGTAAAGAATCCACTTTTCATCTCCAGTAACCAGCCTGTCCAAAAACGGCTCCACATTGTGTCTAATCAGATGTGATGAACATATTCTTACACGATCAGACAAATTCTTTTCCGTTAATTCATGTGGAACCCAAACACTTTGCTTTAACACAAACCCAAGAGATTTAATGTGATCTCCAACAGTTGTATGATGAATGCCAAACTCTTCTGCAATTTCTCGACTTGTTAAATGTGGATTATTTTCCAACATGGATCGCAAAACATCATTATCGATCTTGGATGGTCGTCCAGATCGAAACACTTTCTTTGAGGCTCAGGTCCCCGGAACGAAAATTTGCTAAACCATCTTTGACAAGTACGAACATTTACAATATCTTTTCCAAATACCGCACATAAATTTTTACATGCAACAGATGCGTTGCTTCCTTTTTGGAATTCATATAAAATGCAGTGTCGTAAATGCACTTTATCTTACCGACATGTTTTTCCTTAAAATATTACAAGTAAATGATGAACGGTAAGAAAGCAACCTTTTATTATTATACAGCAGCTAAAAATAACAAAAATTTTAAAAAAAAAAATCCGATTGACTCACTAGCCAGATGTTTTTTTTATTTACAAGAAAAATCGCCTGCCTATTTAAAATACGACAGAACTTTCCCTCCAACCCGATATTTACTATTTTCTAATGCCTGAAATATTAAGTAGTTTTTGAAATTTTTGCTAATGAAAGAAAATCCAATAAGAGGGAAATATTTGGCTATTTGTCAAAAATGAAGTGAGATAGTGCAGCCAAGATCGTTTAGGCTAAATCAGGAGTACCGTAATTATCATCTCTGTCATTTCTTAAGTTCCCATATTTGTTGTTGAGGTGATTAACGCTCATACGCAGTCTTGTATTAAATTGCACATTATTGGGAAACTTTCCACCAACGTAGAATTTTTCAAAGGTTACCTCCACGCCATCCTGAAAAACTTTTATGCTACTGCCTCATAGAAGAAAATTTTATTAGAAGTTATCATTCAAATAAATTTATACTCTTAAAATCTGCGCGTCTGTTTGTTTATTTGTAACGTCATCTCCTCCGGTTGGGGAGTTGAGTTTCGAGAGAGGTGAACCCAGATTACAAAAATTCGTGGGAAATAATTCCGACCATTCTCATCTTCGTACGACTTAATCAGTCGAAATAAAAAACTCTGAAAACGCTAATTTTCGCATTCTGCAAGTTTTTTTTTTTTTTTTTTTTTTTTTTTTTCCCGCTGAACTTAATTGCTGTTCAGCGCATGGAGGTAGGAAAGGGAGGAGGGGCCATTCCGCGCTAGAAGTGAAGCACTGCTTTGAAGCTTCGGTCACCACACGGGGTGTTCTTTGTTTACATTCAGAAGCTCGCTTGATATGATTCTGATAGTATTTCGACACACGACAGTTCCATAGAAATCGAAAAAGAGACACTCTCGCATGACAGAAACATTCATAGTGTGATGGATAATAGCAATTTGTAGTAGTTTACTGACATTTACTCAAAAAACACATCTTGGTTATTTTTCGATAACTAACAACAGCGATTTTGAGTATGAATTTGTTTTATAAAATTCTAAGCTGTTGCACTACAAAAATATAGATTTTAAGAAAATGCTAAAAGAGATCTGCCAAAATTTATTTTCTAGAAGATTTGAAAGTTTGAAACTTGATGGCTAAATGTAAATATAAAATTATGTATGTTAAAATATTTGTAATTAGGCACGTAGGTCAGATTAAGTTTTTATTAAATAGAGTAACGCATGCAAGGGCTCTCTGCCTAAAGAGAGAGATGCCATCGTGGAGGAATTTTGAAGAAAGAAAAACTGACCTTTGAGTGGGTATTAAAAATAATACTTATAATTTCTCTTCAAATTATATTCATATATATTTTTATGCAAAACTTTCGGGTGTATGCTAAATTAGTGTAAATTACTTTAATTTATAATGATTATAAATGTTATCTAAATATATAATAACTTTAATATTGAATTGTAAACATAAATTGAAATCCTGTTGACAAATACGTTATAAAACTATTTAAGCAAGAATTGTTCGTATTGGAAAGCAATCTGTTAAAAGGTATTGTAAAGCAAATGCTATGAGATGCGCACTTAAGAACGTAATAAAGAGTTTTGGAATATGTATTGTTGAAATGAAGAAGGTATAAAAAAAAATCTGATAAGTATAATTAAAAGAATTATTCCCTTTACATTTATAATAACTCAGTTAACAAGTTTTAAATAATACTTAAAAAAAAAAAAAAAACTTATTTATTCCCTTTCAGAAATGTTCAGAGAAAGTCAAATACTATTTAATACCTATTTAATTATTAGGAATTAGCGAAATACTTATTTAAAGTATTTCGCTAATTCCTAATAATTCTCTAATTAAAATGAACCGAATAGAGCATTCGATTTAAAAGAAGCCAAAAAATCATGTCATATTTAAGAAAGTATTTTAGAAATAGAAAAGAAATAATGCATAATTTTAATATTAATAATACAATAAACTTTGATCTTAATTTTTGTACCTTAACGGAATAAAATCGAATTACCTTAATTTTTTTTTCTAATGTAATTAACGAAAACTTGTGAAAATATTTCATTCAAATTAAACCATTCTGAGAAAACTGTCCTGTGAAAAGTATAGCATTTAATTCCGTTCAGAATGAAATGTTGTTTAAAAATATGTTGTTTTCACATACTTAGGACTCTGAAGTGTTGTAGAAAAAGAAAATATATACATTTATATGTATATTTGCGACGTAATTACAAAATATTTACACCCGAACGCGTCAAATCCCATAGAACTCAATGGTAAATGACCCAAAGTTTGGGTCACCACGTAGGGATCGCCGGTGCTTCAGAGCAGGGTACGGAGAAACTTGTTTAGGGCGACTCCATCTTACTTCCTACCTCCATGGTTCGGTGGGGTGCATCGAAGTGCGTACGAGGTGGAATTTTAAAACTGCCATCCGTCTTTTCTAAAAAAAGGTACACAGCGCCATCCCCTCCCGCCAAAAAAAAAAAAAAAAAAAAAAAAAAAAAAGGACAGTTCTATATCTCACCTTCTAATGGGTTGATTGACGAAATTCAAACTGCGTTTTCGATGTCTCGAAAGCGCAATTTAATATATATATATATATATATATATATATAGATTTATATATAGCTTTGTTCTAATGTAGGTATTTTGACACAAAAATCGGGACTTTTTCTATAATAACAAACCAATTTTTTTCCGTATTTCGATCCTACGACTCAAATTATGCCTAGATACTAAATTTTGTAATTTTTAGTGAGAAATTTAAAAATTTATCTTGGCGAATTTTTTTCAGTTTGTGCCAAGAATCATTCATTTGGCGAACTTCTTAATTTATAGCAACCTATTTTCCTTTCCTTTAATGACCACGAGCGGATAAAAAGTCATCGTTCCTACTTTCAAATAATTTTAACAAAGTGCGTAAACCACATTCTCGTTATTATCGCTTATAATAAATACGCCAAATTTCAAAATGTGAATTGGCGTATATCTTAGGAAATGTTGAATAAAAAACCCTCATTTTTTGTTGGTATGCTTAGAAATACATCTACTTTAAAATGATAGCAAAACTTTTATAGCTTATAATTCAAATTTTTTTTCGAAAAATTCCTAAAAAATTATTTTAATATACAAATTTTAAAAATAAGTCATAAAAATAGGCAAATTTTATTTGGAACGAACCTAAATATCGAAATATGAAAGGAAGACTCAAATAAGTTTAATAAATGAAGTCATATTAATAAATATGTATCAAATTCAATTAACATTGAGGAGCGAAAATTTTTAGAGCTCATTTTTTAAAAAGTATTTGTACAATATTTACAAAATTTGTCAGTGTGGCATAATTTGATTTGTA